CCACTCTACCACCACTGACACTACCCACCTCTACCTGCAACCTACACCCACCACTCTACCACCATGACACACCCCACTCTACCATTACACCCACACTCTACCATCCTCTGGCCACCCACTACTCTACCACCACTCTGCAACTACACCCTACACTCTACCACTCTACCACTACCTCAACCACTCTTACACCCACCACTCTACCACCCGCTCTGCCCACCACTCTCTACTACACCCCTCTACCAGTCTACCACTACCCACTCTACCATTATCACCATTCTACCACCACTCTGCAATACACCCACCACTCCTACCACTACACCCACCACTCTCTACCACTCTCACCACTACACCATCTACCACCATCTACCACCTACACCACCACTCTACCACCACTCTTTCTTTCACCACACTCTACCACTACACACCCACCACTCTACCACCACTGACACTCACCCACTCTACCACCAGTGACCACTGCATTCCTCTACCACCACTGACACTCACCCCTCCACCACCACTGACACACACTCCACTCTACCACCACTGACACTATACCCTCACTCTGGCTACACCCAACCTCCTACTACCTGTTTTACACCTCTACCACCACCCACTACACCACTCTACCACTGACACAACACCCACCACTCTACCACCACTGTTTTAACCCACTCCTCTACCACCTCCTACACCTCCACTCTACACCACTACCACAACACTCTACCACCACTGGCCTACACCCATCCTCTACCACCATGACACTACACCCACCACTCTACCACCACTGACACTACACCCACCACTCTACCTGTTTACACCCACCCTCTAACACTGAAACTACACAACCTCTACACACTGATTCACACTCTACCACTGGCACTCACCCCCACTCTACCACTATGTTACACCGCCACCTACCACTGTTTCACCCCACCATCAGCCACCACTGTTATCTACCACTGTTTCTACCATCTACTGACACTACACACTCTCACCACCACTGACTCTACACCACCCACTCTACCACTGCCCTCCACTCTCCCACCACTGACCACACCCCACTTACTCTACCACTCTTCCACCACTGACTACACCTCCACTGTACCACCCTGACTTCTACACCACTGACACTACACCCAGCTCCTACCACTCACTGACCTCCTCCACTGTACACCACTGACTCACCACTATTTCACCCACAGGCTCTACCACTACTGTCACACCACCCACTCTACCACTGACCTCTACCCAGCTCTTCCACCACTGACCTCCCATCTACCACCACTGACACACCCACCATCTCTACCACTGACACTACACCCCACCTCTACCACACTTACACCCTCCACTCTACCACTGTCACCCACCCTCAGTCTACCCCCACTGACACTACACCTCCACTCTAGCACTGACACTTACACCCTCCACTCTACCACCTACTACCCCACCCTTCTACCACCACTGACACTACACCCACCACTCTACCAATACACCCACTCTACCATACCCCCACTCTACCCACCTCTCTACCACACCACTCTACCCACCACTCTGCACCCACCACTCTACCACCACTCTACCACCACTCTCATTACACCCACCACTCTACTTCACACCCACCACTCTACCACCACTCTACCACTACACCCACCACTCTACCACCACTCTACCACTGCACTCTTCCACCACTCTACCACCACTCTGCCACCCCACCACTCCTCTACCACTACATCCACCCTCTACCACCCACCACTCTACCACCACTCTACATCCACCACTCTACCACTCTACCACTACACCACTCTACCACCACTCTACCACACACCCACCACTCTACCCACCCCACCCTCTACCACCACCCTACCACTTCACCCACCAGTCTACCACTACTCTACACACACCCACTCTACCACCACTCTACCATCACCACTCTACTACCACTCTACCACTACACCCACCACTCTACCACCACTGACTACACCACCACTCTACCACCACTGACTACACCCACCCACTCTACACTACACCCACTCTACCACTACACCCACCACTCTACTACCACTCTACCTTCACCTCCACTCTACCCCACCACTCTACTACTTCACCCACCACTCTACCACCACTCTACCACTGCCACCACTCTACCACTCCACCCACCACTCTACCCACTGCACCCACCACTCTACCACTACACCCACCCACTACACCCACCACTCTACCATCCACTACCTCCACCCACCACTCTACCACTACACCCACTCTACTACCACTCTGCCACCATCTCCACTACATCCTCCACTCTACCACTCTACTACTTACCCACCCACTCTACCACCACTCTCCACCATCTACTACTACCCACCATCTCTACCACTGCACCCACCACTCTACCACTCACCCCACCACTCTACCACCCTGACATAACGTATTTCTTGTATCCTAAGTCTCATCCTCCCCTCTTCGCCAACCATCTTTCTTTTCCTCTCCACCACCTCCACGGCTGGTGACTATGAGTGGTGTATAACCTACAGTGCTCGTCTGGGCTGGTGACGCTGTTGTATGGCTGGTGGCTGCTGGTGAATATACATTTCCACTGTCTACACATTGTTTACTACGTAAGTTACTGTGAGGTATCACACCTGCCTCCCGTATCCTACTTGTATATCCTTGATTCACCTGAAGATTCGTCCCTCAGCTTATTTCACCTTAAGATTAAGTACCTTTTCGGTAAACTAATCTAACGCTAACTTAACGTTAAGCTAATGTAGCGCTAACCTAACCTAACCTAAGCTAACCTAACCTAACCAAACCCCAGGTAGAGCTTGGGTGTTATTCATCAGGTGAAATAAGCTCGGGGGGCTAATGTTCAGATGACCCTTTCCTTTCGAGTTAAATATATCTTAATTCTTGGTTAAAATAACTTGTTCAATATAATGTTTTTCTCACCGATGCTAAACTATCAGCAATTTTTCTATCTCTTGTGCGTTTGTAATAATTTTCTATATAATTCGTGATAAAATATTTTAAAGGCAGGAAAATTCTTTTATCTGTTTATTACTGTGTATAGAGAATATCAGCACATGTGTTATGGCAGTGCATGATACACTGTAAAGATTGTGTATTCTCACAAAACACGTGTTACAGGTGTACAGATCTCCTATATATCAATACTGTGTACACATCACAATCATCGTGCTCAGCAGCTTCCTCATCACTGGGATACGCAAGGTTAGTGATCGATGTAGACTTCGTTAGTGCTATTATTCCGATTCGTGTGTTTCTTGTATTACTAGAGGTAGCAGCTGTAACATTACTACCACGACTACTATTATTAGTAGTAAAAGTATCACTTGAAGTGCTGTATCGTTAGTAACAGCAGTAGTTGTTATGCTCTTGTAAACTGGCTCCCAAATGATTTATAAAATATGCAATAATTTTATGTGATCTGTTTCTGAACGACAGTACAAGACAATTGGATAATACTTAATGATTTAGTGATATATTTCTTTCACCCTATACTGTATATTCTAACTTTACACTAAGCAACAGTACTCTCGTGTAAAGTCGACGTGGGTGATACGTAAAACAAATTCAAGGAAATTCGTAAAATTACAAATAAAGGGAAACCATAATTCATCGCTCTGTTGTCTTATTATCGCCGCATAGCACTGCAATTTTGAGAAACCTTGTATGTGACTCTGAGCGAACTATGAAGATATCCGAGTAGATCAAACTTCGACCTGGGTAAAACTAACAAGAAATCACGTAGGCCCACTGCTATGCTTATGTGATGTACTAGGTATACAGAATATCCATATTTAGAGTCAATATGTTCTATGAATTAAAGTTACATTCTTGATCTTTGTCTTATATATATATATATATATATATATATATATATATATATATATATATATATATATATATATATATATATATATATATATATATAAATCAGTAGAATATTTTTTTATAACCAAGATAATCTACTTGTCTACTGGAATATTTGTCTACAGAGACCTTGAGCGACTGTAAATCTCTCTCTCTCTCTTCTCTCTCTCTTCTTCTCTCTCTCTCTCATAAACTTTCATCAAACCCTTACGACTGTGTTCTCCACGCGTAGGTTACTGAGGGTGACGTTATAAAGGGTAAGGAGGGGGTTTCACTGCGTCCGTCTACACTCTACAGTACAGTATTATAAGATTTTTACGACTGTCACCACGATAAAAAAAGTTATCTACCGAAAAAGAATTCATTGTAAATGTTGAAAAAGTGATCTCAATCAAATAATTATTGCCAATAGCTTAAAGTATTACATAAATTTAAGTCTTTTCTCTTTATTTATATATATATATATATATAATATATATATATATATATATATATATATATATATATATATATATATATATATATATATATATATATATATATATATATATATATATATATATATATATATATATTTTTTTTTTTTTGTGGGGTGAGATGGCACTTTCTGCCAGCCCCCCAACGTCACAGTCTGCGGGCTACTTGGTCATTCTTTGGAAATATCACTGAAAAACTGACATTTTCTAAAAAGTCCAACCTTCCACCTCACCAACTTTCTCTATAACAATTACATTTTATTCACAACTTTTCTCATAAATCATATTTTTTTCTTATTATCATGACTTCCTTTTATCTCCTCGCATATTTCGAAAATCTTCCTCTTCCTCTCTCTCCCCCGTCTTCTCCTGCTGCCTACAGTATATGATCGACAAGAGTGTGTTGATGTAGCCAGGTAGATGACCAGGTGACAGCGAAGAGTGTGTTGATGGCCGGTAGATGACCAGGTGATAGCGAAGAGTGTGTTGATGTAGCCAGGTAGATGACCAGGTGACAGCGAAGAGTGTGTTGATGTAGCCAGGTAGATGACCAGGTGATAGCGAAGAGTGTGTTGATGTAGCCAGGTAGATGACCAGGTGACAGCGAAGAGTGTGTTGATGTAGCCAGGTAGCAGATGGCCAGTACATTATATATAACAGCTGATCGTGATGGCAGGAGCGGTGTGGCCTGGTCACACCATGGGTTGTCGCCATCATCACCTTCATGGCCCTGGAGGCAGTGTGCTGCATATATTCCAACGTCCTTAGAGATCACATTAATAAGGTAAGGTGTGGTGTGTGAAATATAATAAAATGATTAAAAATATATATACTGTATTAATGTTTGTATATTTTCATAATTTCTCATATTCATATTATTACTTTTGCTAGGCACATTACAAAACATCACAGTAATTCCCTGGATGTGCCCAATAAACTTCTATTTCGATAAAAGGTTAACTAAAAAAAATTATGAGTAATATAAGAATTTTTTAATTCAAAAACTCTCCTAACATTGTGAATGTGTAGCCGTGCGGTAGTGACGCTCTTCATAAGTCTCCCACGCAAACACTCGCCTGCTTCTTTGATCTTGAGGTTTAAGAGTGTGTCAGTAGTGTGGTGACGTAGTCCCCCAACCTTAACTTACTGTAATATATCTTTTCCCTCCTCTATTATGGCTGGACTCCTGTATGTTAAGCTTATCACATTTTACATTTCAGAGATTCGACATGATGTAAACAGAATTGATGTTTTTTGTAACAAGATTATTTTTAAATGTAAGTATTTCATACAAGTTTATAGTAAATATTAAATAAATAAATAAATAAATAAATATATATATATATATATATATATATATATATATATATATTATATATATATATATTATATATATATATATATATATATATATATATATATATATATATATATATATATATATATATATATATATATACAAATAAATCACTGTAGGTGCGCGTGATCTAGTATATGCTGATAAACAAGAGAAAAAGTTCCCAAGGCTTGGGAATTTCGTTTCTTCTTTATCCTTTATATATATATATATATATATATATATATATATATATATATATATATATTGATGCTGGATTATATTTATCTTTGATTGGAAAAATTGTCATACCTGTGGATTAGTATAATGAAAAATGACGCATACTTGAATTGGCTATTTATTTTTTATTATATTTCAGTTATAAAAAATATTCTCCCTGAGAAGCGAACAGTGTTTCAAACTTTAGAATATCGCATTAGTTTTCATCCTTAAAATCTGAGGGGTTGATATTATCATGGGTTCAAAACTGGCAAAGAAAATGGAATACGTGTGTGTGTGTGTGTGTGTGTGTGTGTGTGTGTGTGTGTGTGTGTGTGTGTGTTTGTATCTGCGAGTACGTGTTTGGGTGTGTGTGTATCCACGAGTATGTGTGTGTGTGTGCGTGTGTGCGCGTGCACAGGGTGGTGTAATGCGTCTAGTGTGGCAGTATTATGTTAGTGTTAAGGTGCAGGCACAGCTTGCTTCTCTCACTTTCAGCTACCGCCGCTGTCTAGCCCTCGTGGTGATCAGCGTAAGTCTTCCCCTGCCAGTACACAGCCTCTTCACCATCAAGACTCTTGCTGTGACCCCTCGTGGCAACACACGGTAACTGGGTGCCTCGCGGCCGCAGGCTAGAACAGCAGGGGATATTGGAGCAGCAGTGGTCCCCAGAGGGACGGCGCATAGGCCCACCAACATGTGAACACACCCCAGGCGCCTACCAACCACTGCCCCACAGCCTTGTGGATCAACCTTAGCAAGTAAAAGGCTAGGGAAGTAAACCCCGAACGAAACTTCTGTGGTGGAGCCCCTTATCAGGCAGAAATGCTTACAGAGCTCCAGTAAGAAACCCAACGGCGGAATAGGCTGAAAAGGTGACCAACAAGAAAACCCAACGGGTACTCCGGCGGAAGAAGGCAATGCAAGATGGACAGGCTGCTACGGCGAAACCCAACAAACTGAGCTATTGGCAGTCCATCGCAACTCCTTCTCCCCATTTGTTGCAGCTACCTGCACCACTGAGACTGAGACTGAGCCAAGATGTGTGGTTGCAGCCTGTGCCTTACCACATTCATCTACTCACGTGCAGCCATCATCCAGATCATCATACATTTCATCACCATTAAAACCCCTAAACCACCAAAAGTCTTATGGCGACGGACGAGTGGCGACGGGAACAGGCAGAGATGACTACCTGCAGTCTAGAGTCACAACTCTGCACATGGGCAGGATAGATAAGATGGTCGTTTATGTACTGGGATCTAGGCAGCAGTGAAATCCGGTCCTGTCTGTGCGAATGAGCAGCCCTTTCGAGGAGCCCCTCTGCTCACCCCGCATGGGGTGTGGGCTAGAAAAGGTGCCTTAAACATAGCCAGTCTAAAAAACCAACCTGACTGGATATCCATACCCAGTAAGGACATCCTAATGCAGTCGAAAACATAATCACAGATGAAAGCAAAAGCAAACTATACAACCTCTTATGGTCGCTGCATGAAATGTTAAGATCCTTCTGGATGCTGGCACAAATGGGCGTTATGAAAGAAGAACTGGCCTGGTGGCAAAAAAGCTGTCTAGATATAACATCGACATAGCAGCCACAAGTGAGTCCTAGCTCCCAGACGAGGGTCGACTCACAGAACAGGGGTCCGGCTATACCTTCTTCTAGAAGGGTAAGCCTGCCATTCTTCAATCCACCCTACACAGACTTACTGTAATGTCTGTTGGGGTCAACGAGCACCTCATGACGCTCCGAGTCCCACTGAATTACTCACGTCATGCCTTCTTCAACAGTTCTTATGCCCCAACACTGGATGCAGAGGATAACAGCAAAGAAAAATCTTATGCCTACCTTGACAGTCCTAACCTCTATCCCAAGATAAGATAAGGTTGTGCTCCTAGGTGGCTTCAATGCCAGAGTTGGCAGAGATGCTGACTTATGGCAGGGAACCATAGGGAGAAACGGAGTGGGCAAATGTAATCCCAACAGCCTACTCCTCCTCAGCAAGTGTGGTGAATGCAACCTCACTATCACCAACACTTTGTTTAGGCAGGCCGACAAGTTCAAGGGTTCTTTGCAACACCCACGGCCCAAACATTGGCATCTCACTGACTAAATCATTGTCAGAGAAATAGATCGCCGAGAAGTCCTCATCAACCGAGGCATGTGTGGCTCAAACCGCTGTGACACAGGTCATCAACTCGTCATTGCCAATCTTTCCCTTCACGTCGCCCCAAAACGGCGAAGGCAACAAGCCTCCAGAGGAGGTTTTAACACAAAGCAACTGGAGGATCAAGCAGTAGAACATGCTTTCAGAGAGCAGCTCCACTATGGGCTGATAAACAGCCCAACAACAAACAACCTAAATCTGACTGCCTAATGGGGTATCCTTGATGCTGTCATCACAAAAACCTGCAGCAAGGCCCTCGGCCAAATCGAAAGAAAGCACCAGAATTGGTTTGATGAAAATAACCAGGAAATCGACGTACTCGTCAATGGTAAACGTGCGGCTTTCCCTGACTGGCAGAACAACCCTCAGTATCGGACTAAAGCTGATGCCTTAACACCAGAAGAAAGTGATGGCCCAGTGCGAACTTCGTAATCTAATGAACGAATGGCGGAAAAATAAAGCGTGTGAAAAGGAAATTTTTTGAGGACCAACACATGATGCGTGAATTTTTCAATTCCACTAAAATAATGTTTGGCCCAACTACTCATGGCGTAGCCTCCCTCCACTCATCCGACGGTAACTCCCTAATTAAAGGCGAAGAAGGCATCAGTCAGCACTGGAAAGAACACTACCATTCGCTGCTCATCCGAAACACCGATGTGGATGTTCTGTCTACCCAATAGGTCCCTCAGCATCCAGAGCTGACCCACCTCAACTATCCTCCATCCCTGAATGAGGTAGCTATTGCCATCAAGCAGATGAAAAATAACAAAGCCACAGAGCATGATGGAATTCCAGCCGAGGTGTCTTAAGCAAGAGAACCTCTGCTTACCAAACGTCTCCAATCTCTCGTGGAGAATATATGGGAGAAGGAGGAAATCCCCCAAGAACAAAGGAGACCGGTCAGACTGTGTCAGCTACTGCAGGATCTCGCTGCTGTCCATAGCTGGCAAGAATATCACCGGAGTCCTCCTAAACAGACTTCCTCATGAGGCGTAAAACTTCCTCCCAGAATATCAATGTGGCTTTAGACCATCACGTGGCACCACTGACATGATCTTTGCTCCCCGCCAGATACAGGTAAATTTCAGAAAACAGCGTCGTGACTTGTACATGGCCTTCAACGAGCAGACTAGGTCAACAGGGAAGCCCTCTGGAGGACCCTCAGTCGTTTTGGTTGCCCACACAAATTCATCACCAATGTGGTCAGCTTCACGATGACATGAACGGCAGTGTCCTGCACAACGGTAGCCAATCCGAGTTCTTTCTCATCTTAGCTGGGGTAAAACAAGGATATGTAGTAGCACCAACTCTCTTTTCCATTTTCTTGGCTGCCTTCCTTACTCATGCCAGTGACAATTTAGCCGGCGGGATGGACATCCAGTACTGAACTTCAGTATGCAGACGACCTCACCCTCGTCGCTCACAGTGAACGCGACCTACAGGAGATCCTGAACACTTACGCAGATGCGTATGCACACTTCGGCCTTGAGGTGAATGTACTAAGACTCAGATTCTCCTTCAGCCTGTCTGTGGTTCAGGCACACCTCCACCATCCATTCAGGTTAACGGTACTACTACGCTCTCTAATGTTACCCACTTTCAGTACCTTGACTCCCACCTGTCCACCACAGCCGACATCGATGAAGAGATTCAACATCGGATCAGATGTGCATCTCAAGCCTTTGACAGACTCCGTACCCGTGTCTTTAGCTGTAGGGAACTGAGGTTATCTACAAAGCTGCATGTATATCGATCAGTGGTCCTCCCCATCCTACTGTATGGCAGCGAGTCATATACAGCAGGTACCTCAAGGCACTTGAAAACTTTCACCAACGTAATCTAAGTTCCATCATCCAAGTTCGCTGAGACGACAAGAGAACAAATGCCAATATTCTCGCTGACACCAAGTGTAGGGGCATCGATGTTACCATTATCCATGAATGACTACCTTGGACTGGCCATATTACCCGCATGGACGACAGTAGACTGCCAAAGCTGCTACCTTAGAGTCACCTAACGAATGGTAAACGTAACGCTGGCGGGCAACGGAAAAGTATAAGAATAGTCTTAAGAAAAACCTGAAAAAGTGCCAAATCGACCCCCTCTCCTGGGAGACGATCACTCCACACGTAACGCTTAGAGGAGCATCACACGAGAAGGTGTCAATACTTTCGAGTTAGCTCGGTTGCATACCAAGGAAAGGCAGACAAGCGCCAGCAAGATGCTGCCGCCGTCCCTTCCACACTAGATGTAGCCCTTCACACATGCAACATCCGTGGACGGCCCTGCCGGTCCTGTATAGGCCTCTCGAGTCGCCTCAGAGTTCACCAACGAAGGTGATATCTTTAATAACTCATATCATTATATCATAGCTGGATGATCGCCATACTCGATTCCAAGCAGTTTGTGGACATTTATCTTATGTTAAGCATAACATCACTGTCATGTCGGGTGTTGAACCTTTAAACTTAACGTATAAAAAAATTCAGGTGTTATCTCTCAACCATCCTCCTACCCCCTCCTCAAGTCTTGTCTCCCCACCACCTTTGCATTTCCTCCCCAACAGTCCCCTTACTCACCAGGTGCTGTCTCCTACAGATCCTGGCACTGTGGGGTGTGATGAAGTTCTACAGAAACATCAGATCGGGCGTCACCTTCAAGGACCCGGAAGCCATAGAGCTATAGGGCTCATGAACCGCATCCATCTCGTCACGCCACTCACCTCATATTAGTCTCAGTGGCTTTCTTTCAGCACGCAACCTTGCATCCTACCTTCTGAGGTTACCTGATCATGACAACCCCCTCCCCACAGAGTTCTAGAGATCAACAATGCCATCCTACATAAAACCTCCCGTTTTGAGGCTTATTATGATACCGCGCTGAAAACGCAGCTGCTCGTTCTTTGGTGAAATTGCCTTGTATGTGGCTTTAATTCCACTCACTATGATGCTAATTACAGGATCAGTATAGAAGTTATCCATGATATCATCTGGTCTCCTTGGGGGGAGAGGACTAGAAACAGACCAAGAGAATACAAGCGCTATGGTGTGTCCAGGGAACGTGTCTATAAATGACCTTCTACTGAATAAATGATCTACTACTGAAAATGTGTATCATCAGAACTCATAACTTGATAGATGCCACTGCAGTTATACCTTCTTGCTTATTAGAAACAGTATTGTATAGTTATATATATATATATATATATATATATATATATATATATATATATATATATATATATATATATATATAAACACCGGCATGATAGCATTAACCAAATCAAAATGTTATCCTCATACCCCAAAGTATCGAGGTAAGGTAGAGGTTTTGGTAAAACTATGTGTTTAATGTTCAGTGCGCCTGGGAGAGAATATTATGTCCAGTATGTTATAAAAATATGGAAAGAAATGTTAACAACTGTATTTTAAGTTAATGAGAACGAATGTTCTAAATATATATTACGTTAAATAGGGATAATTTTCCGATTAATTTTTAAGCACAACTGACATTTTTGGCAAATATGGATAACTGTTTATTTTCAGTACAAAAATGTAACGTAAATAAATTCACCTATGGTAAAATTGACTTTCATTTCAGCCTTTATTTACTATCGTAATATATCAAATTAATACCAAAATTATGTTAGGTAATATTCTGTACAAGGATTTTGTATATGATCGTCATAAAGTACATAGCAATTTGAACATATAGGAATTATTCCCATTTCGTTATTTAGTGATACAATTATATATATATATATATATATATATATATATATATATATATATATATATATATATATATATATATATATATATATATATATATATATATATATATATATATATATATATATATATATATAAATCACTGTAGGTGCGCGTGATCCAGGTATATGCTGATAACCACAAGGAAAAAGAAAACACGAAATACTCACCCCTGAAGATGTGAATTACACGAAAGCGCTTGGGAACTTCGTGTTTTCTTTTTCCTTGTGGTTATCAGCATATATATATATAAACAAAAGAACACCACTCACTTCGTATAAAACAAATGGGATAGCGCTGGGAGGTAGATCAAGTTTACTGTATGAATGGTTAGCGAGTTGCCAAGACGTACAAAACTAAACAGATGTAAATCTTGCATGACAAAACACAATTGTGCGTCTTTGTGTCTCACCACTCAATATAAAGATTCTGGCACACGGAGTTATTATAGTCACGTAGTTCTTTGTTTATGTAATGTTAACCGATGGTGTCAGAAAAATCTAGACTTATAGACTAAGCTGAAGTAGCCAGAGCCGTACAGTTATTGGAAGATGGAAATAGTCAGTGTCCGGTGGCCAGAAGCTTTAATGTGTCTCCAAGTGTCATCAACAGACTGTGGAAATACTACTTGGAGGATGACTTAAACACTGGGAGACCATATCAAAGCCATAATTGCATACCTATTCCTTGATCTTCTCCCTATTTAATCATTATGTTTTCAACCAACAAGTTTTGTGGGTTTTAGTTTACCTGCCACTAAAACACTGTCACAGCTGAAGTCTACAACCGTTAGTTCGACCTCGTTGCTTGTTTCGTCTCCATCACTGAAAAACATTTTTTGGGGTCAATAAACAATCCACCTGCCAAGTTTCACCAAAGTCAGTAAGCCAGTTATAAGGATATTCAATAACCAAAACGCACAAGAGCGCCCGCACACACACACACACACACACACACACACACACACACACACACACACATGTAAGAAGCCACCACAAGATTGTCATTTAATTTAGCTATTAGTGTTATTTAATTTAAATATTATACCTACGTATAAGACAATATTGACAAAAATATTTGCATAAGTAATACTGTAGTAGGTTCGATACTAAGGAGGAGGTCTGTTGATATTATGTCACGGATCACCCCACCAGTAACCCAGGCTCACTAGAAATTAGTTCCATATAGATAGATCAGGTGATATTAGTCGTGTGACGCCATCCCCCCCCCACACACACACCTCTCTATCACGTGGTCATGGCTACGCGAGACGCCGTACAGTTTCTCATGTCCTGTGCGACGCAGTTTCTCGGGCCCACTATCATAGACATCATATGTATTGATCACGAGGTTATGACCGTAAGGTGTCACATGACCTAAAGGCATCACATGACTGAGGTTTCTCAAGGCGTCGCTACCCAAGTCGCTATCTGTAAGAGTTCGACTTAGTCTGTCACTGGCCGAGACACGATTCAGACATATACCCTTATTGCAAGCAAGATCTTCGTCTCGGCAGACTCTGTACATAGTATTGTTAATACAGAGAAAAACACTGCACAAGACTATATTTCATCTCTTCTCCAGTCTCTTGGAAGGAAAATGGGTCTGAAGCTGTACTTTGGTGATAACTGTGACCAGAGAGAAAGAACAATTGCCAGTTTAAACCGCTCAGACTTAGAAACTAGGAAAAACTCCAACGACAAAGAGTTATAAAAGGTGGTGGCAGCGGTAGGATATTCTACAACCTCTGAAACAACTGTAACCAGTCACATTCTTCTATGCTCACGTCCCAGTTCCACTTTATACTTCATGTGACTGCAGTGTTCCAGTGTTCCGCTAGTGTTCCAGTTCCACTCTACACTTCATGTGACTGCAGTGTTCCACTAGTGTTCCAGTTCCCTCAGCCCCTACAAACCTAACTCTAGTTGTGGGTCGTGTCGTGTTGCGTCTCTGTAACAAAGCGTGTTCGGCATTCGGGCCTTCGTTGTTGAGCGGCAGAAATTGGACAGTGATTACAAAAGATCAACAAGGTCGTCTTACTGATGTGAAAGTGTAAATCGATCTAAGATTTTTAATGCGAGACGCGATTGTATACTTTAAAACTCAATCTCCACCGAGTTGGAGGTACAGCCCAGGTCAAGAGGCCTACAACCTCAAAATTATTGCCACATGACAAAACTTTTTTTTAACGGAGTTGTGGTCACGGTTGTGATAAAGGCCAACCAGTGAGTGTAGTATTGTGCCTTTAGTTAACTCAGTTCATAGTGTCATCAGTGACCGCAGAAGAGGTTGTAAATAACTTAAAGTGAAGAAAAAGTTGGCAAGCAAGCTGGTAAGGCACCACTGCCAGCAGAAACCAAGTCGTATTATAGGTGCCACAAACACTTATTTTTATTTTTATTTTTTATTTTGTTTGTGTTCTATCTCAAGGACTGAAACTGTGCCTACAATACACCATTCACAGGGAGATACAGTGTACACAGTGATAGCACAAAGAGATATAGTCGTTGATGAGAGCTGGAAAGGAAAGTATAAGGAAATAATAGTTAAAATAAAAATAAAAACTCAGCAAGCTTGGCTATCATAAAAGGCATTCTATTACCGCCCCAAAGAAATTTGATTTTTTCTGTGTTTCTGAAGGACTGAGTGGGCGTATATAATCCGTTATACATAGCAAAATTCAGTGTACATAGATATAGCACATAGATACCGACAAATCGCCGAAGTGAACTGAAAAAAAGCGAAGAAAAACAGAAGACAACTCATAAGGCAACACAGGACACACAGTGCAATGTCACGAAGTGTAAGAGGCTGCACCTGGGGCGTACCAACGGTAAGGAGCCGTATCATATGTCCCAACGGCATGAAGAAACTGCACTATTTGAGACTGCATGTGAGAAGGACCTAGGTGTGTATGTTGATAATAAGCTGAAGTTCTCGGGCCATTGCGAGAAGAAGGTAAATGAGGCAAATAAATTATTGAGTCTTATAAGAAGGTCGTTCAAATATCTAGACCGTCCGTCCCTCGTAACGATCTTCAAGAGTGAAGTGCTTCCCAATTTGGAGTACTATCACCCCGTCTGGTCCCCGAGATATGCTAGGGACTGTCAGTTGGTTGAAAATGTTCAAAGGAGGGCCACCAGACTGGTGCCTGCACTTCGGCACTTCAGCTACCCTAAGAGATTGGAGCGCCTGAACTTGCCTAGCTTATACTACAGACGGGCAAGGGGTGACCTAATTGAGGTGTATATGCTAGCATCCCAAGGGGCACTACTCAGTCGAGTGTCCTTACTTGGAGCTGGCGGACGCTCGTCCCACAAGGGGTCACAGCTCAAGATTGAAGAAGCCGCAAGTCCAGAAAACTGTGAGGGCAAACTTTTTCGGAGTGAGAGTTGTGAACTCTTGAAACAATCTACCAGAAAGTGTTGTGACGGCACCGAGAGTGAGCTCTTTCAAGACAAGACTTGACCATCACTGGAGCAGGTTCAGGTACATTCAGGAGCCGGTGCATGCCCAGAACTTGCCAACAGTGCGTAACAGAGACGTGACCGATCGCCCAAGCGGCTAACGAGCCGATCAGTGATGAAGAGGATAAAAGTAAAGTAAAAGTGCCGAAGAGGTTAAAACATCAACAAGAGGCAGCTAGGTTTTGTTTTCTCTTCTTCCTTTTTAAATAACATTGAATTGCCATAAGGGCGCGATCAACTCCCTATCTCACTTTACTTGGACTTCAATTAGTAGATGTGATTATTAAGGAAGTGATCCCACTGAGGTGTATATCTCTTGCTCAGATGAAATATATTGTGCTTGCCTGGTGGATGACACTTGCCATAACGGCCTATACCCAGGCAGCGGAACGGGGCTCTTAAAGGGACCTTGACGCTAAGATCCTGCTACCAGGACACATTAAAAGAAACTATCACAGTAATAATAAGGATCATTATTAGTATTAGTATTATTAAGCCAACAATTAGAAGTGTTTATAAAGGACTGAGTGGGGATATGATCAGTCATTCATAGCAAGATACAGTGTACATCGGGATAGCACATAGATACCAACAACTCGTCAAGGAGAACTGAAAAAAGGGGGGAGATCAAAAGATAGCTCAAACTTTCTTGGAGGGCAACACTGTACTCCCCCCACACACACACACACACAACAGCAACAACAACCATGATGACATGCGATTACTGCAGGGTGACGACGGATGTAGATGTAGATGGTACAGGCCTGAACAATGCAGAGTCTAGTACGATACAAGTTGCCATAAAGCATGAAGGCTGTTGCTGGTACTGCTCTGACTGCATAGTCAAGGTGAAAGGGACGAAAACAGATGAAGCTGGAGCCTTGCTGGTTGCCAAACTAGAACAAGTTGGGAAAGAGATCCTTGCTAAGACTGAAGAAGTAGCCGATAGAATGGAGGTGATTGCAAAGAGGAGTTGTGCTGAGGCCTTACCACG